AAAATGTGTGGATACCAGGCAACCTAACTGACCAGAAAGAGGTGTATATGTTACAGTGTGTTCGCGAAAATCGTGATTTCGCGGAGTCACCGGTTGCTCCACGGACTCCCTAGGGACTCCGCGAACTCACATGCACTCTCGTGAATCTGCGGAATCACTGCCGTGGTTTCGCGGATTTACTAGAGTTTTCAGTGTGTTCGTTGAATTACTGAAGAGTCGTGGGGATCCGCGAACTACCTAGTTAATCCGCAGACTAGCGATTATTTTTCAGTGAATTCGCGGAATGCCGATTCTTTTTTTCAGAGAATTTCCGTAAAACATTGTTTAGTGTTAACCCGGCCGGGCCCGGGGGGTAATCCCAACCAACGCAGCCCGGGGGGTCGTTTTTTGCCCCCCCCCCCCCCTGACTAACTCCGTAAATAGGGGAGCTACCGAATCGAAAGCGATACCAAACGAAAGATCCTTACAAGACGATTCTAAAGCACCTAAAATTTTTGACCTCAGGTCAATTTTCAAGGTCAGTGGTCAAGGTCAAAGGCAAAAATCGGCCATGTGTAGTGATCTCAAAGTAAGCGTTCTAGAGGACGACAGGATGCGAAAACTGGCAAAATTGGGTGTCAAACGAAAGAAGAGAATCTGAGTATTTCCGAAAATGTGCTCAACATTAGCCCGGCACCGACTGGGCTATTTCCGTACCCACGACAGCCTGGGGGGGGGGGGGTCGGATCCCCCTGTTATCTCGAGAACCAATGGTCGCATCGAGCCCCGCGAGGCGGCGTTCGAAAGGTCTCTACGAGACCTTCCCAAAGCACCCTTAAGATTTTATGATTGAGGTCAACTTTCGGTTCAAGGTCAGGTCAAAGGTCAAATTCTGGGGTTTTGCATGATTAGGCTTACGGACAGCGGAATCGATAGCTGCTGCTCGAAACTCACCAAAAATGACATCAAAGGCCTAGTGAAGGTACCATGTAAGTATAGAGGTCATACTAAGTTAGGGTCAAGGTCAGGTCAGGTCACGAAAGGTCACGGTTTTCACTTTTTGCTACATGGGCGTGCGATACATGTTTTATGGCTTATTTTTCACGCCGAATTCGATGGTAATGGTTATATGTGACCCCAAGTCACTGTGCTGGTGATAAGTGCGCATTGAAAGCATAAAAATCGTTTATACCATTCATAACTAAACGAGGGCTGAGAAAAAAAGTCAATTTTTCAACTTTTTATTTTTGACATAAAAAATGCACGTTTCTAGACGAGCTTTGTCCCAGGAATCTAGTGCTGCCATTTGTTTTCACATGCGATGTTCAGAAGTGCCTCTAATTCACGAAAATGCTTATGACGTCACCATGCCCTATGCATGTTGGAGCTATTTTTTTACAATTTGGGGGTCAAAAATCAAGATAGAAAGTTGAAATTTGGAGCATGTAATTTTCTAATAGACCTCTATAACATATATTTCGGTTTTTTGAAAATTCTCAAAATTTTAGATTTTCTTAGCTGTTTTCCAAAAAATGTAGTTTTTTGAATTTTTAGGGGTGAAAAAAACGCATTTTATGGAAAATCCAAGATAGCCATTTTAAAGAACTCGTTGAGCTGCGTCTATTTAGGTCCTTAATTTGCAATTTGCTTTAAACGCTGATTTTTGGCGATTTTTTAAACATTTACCACTTTTTAACTAAAAACACCACGTAGTAACATCACTAAAATCGATATATCTCAAATTTTTTGAATTTTTTTCTTAAAAATTACACAAAAGACGTCAAATTGATGGGGGAGAAGGTATGCCAAGTTTCAAGTTGATAGCGTAAGCGATTCTTGAGTTATTCAAGAAAAACGGAGGGGGAGTCGGATCCGACCCCCCAGGCGGTCGCGGGTTAAAGGTCAAGGTCAAGGTCATGCTCTAAATTGACCTCAAACTTGGCACTTTTGTGTACATATTGCGTGGTAACTTCCAATATGTTTTTAAATGTTTTGAGGCTTATCAGGTCTCTACTTGTGGTTCATCGTACGATACAAGGCTGCTCAAAGGTCAAGGTCACAGAAGAGTATCCTTGCTAGAGGCTATTTCACTGATTCTACAGGGTGTTCCAAAAAAAGTGAGCCCCCCAACTAAGATCGACTATACCTCTGCAACCGTGCATCCTACAGCTTTGGGAAGCCACTCATTAGAAAGAACAATCAAATTCCATCCAGATAGGCCGTAATTCCGTTACATATCTCACACAACACGGCCAGCATTGTGAAAAGCACAATTCAATACCAAACTCTTGGTGAAACATTAAACGGTATCGGATATGGTTGAAAGTTCTTCGCATCTGACCGCATATTTCAGTTCACGTGCTTTTATTCATTCTTCGCACATGAACTTTTATCATGAAAATTGAACACTGAATGGATGACCTAGTTCAACCAGTATTTTGACCACTCCGATATCGGTCATGCGTTGCCGTCAGCAGTAGGTACACGTTTACCGCCGTCGCCGTGTTTCACCCGATCTGGCAACACATTTTGTTCTGGTCGTTCTCGGTGTAATACGTAATCATTCAGAGCCACACTAGGTAGCCTACTAGAACCGATTTTGACCGTTCTTTCCAACAAGGGGTCTCTCATTATCGTAGGACGTACGGTTTTGGAGATAAAAGCAATATAAGTAAGGGGGCTCACTTTTTTTTTGAACACCCTGTAGTTAGTATATAATGATAAATATGATAATTTTGCCATCCGGAGGCTCTAAATGAAGGCTTAGAGGAAAATAGATGCCAGATTCGTGATCAGCGGGTACGAATCCATCATAAACGACCTTTCATGTGTCAAGGTCAGCCAAAGGTCATCTTCGAGGTCACATTAGGTCAAGATAAAACTTGACCTTTTCAAACAAAATATATATCATTCGACGCGGCTTGACAAGCCGAATGCGTTGGTACCACTGCCGTAGCTCTAGGAACATTTTTGTCGAAGTTATTTGCAAAAAACTAAAACCACAGCTCGGGGGTCGTTGACCTGACCTCTGACCTCAGGTCACCAAACCTATTTTTTTTCTTGGTCAAATGATACACAACCGTGCTCGTAATTTGTCTTTATCTCTAAAACTCTATTTTAGCAGCTATTTGAAGTTCGCGTCTGTAACGCCGAAATTTGTCGTGCAGGGGTCTAGAAAAATGGACCCTGTGACGTCATCAAGGGAGCTAGGTCCAAATTTTTTACTTCAGAAGATGTCAAATTGATGGGAGAAAAGGTACTCTAAGTTATGCTTTCCTATCCCTAAGCGTTCGGGAGCTATCGCAAAAATTCGCCAGGGGGGGGGGGCGAAAAACGCCCCCCCCCCTCCCGGGCCCGCGCGGGTTAATGCTGATTATTGGTATAGGCTCAAAGATATTTGAATAGAGACTGAATCCTGTTGCTGATATGATTAGTTGACAAGTTGTCCTGTTTTAGGACAACGTATGCCGACATGCCACTGTCATGTCGGCCTACGCTGGCCGACATGACAGTGGCAACCAGTCTATAGGAATTAACCCGCGCCCCGTAGGGCTACCGGCGGACCCTACCACCCGTAGGGGGGGGGGGGGCGTTTCGGCCCCCCCCTAAGATCTCGGAAAGTTACCGGCCGATTTTCAAAATTCAAACGGCGTTCGATAGCCCCACCCGGGAACTACCTTGTGACCAAATTTCATTGACCTAGGTCAAACCGATGACGTCACAGGTCAGGTCAAAGGTCAGATTTTCACCGTTCACAGGCATTTCAAGAAATGTGTTGTGAAATCGAGTAAATTGGTAATTTATTGAAAACCATCGATGGTACATTGTTCGTCAAACACATACTTTGCTATCTGAGGTCACTGATACCAGGTCAGGTCACAGCGAGGTCAGGTCACCGGGGGTCACATTATGAAAGTGTCGTGTGATGCATGTTTTATGGTCTATTTTACATGACAAATGCGATTATGTGGGTTAGGTAGCCTTTGGGGCCAGCCTAGGTCACGTTTTGGTGAAGGTCAGGTCAAGGTCAGGTCAAATTAGGTCAAATTTCAAAGTTGATATTTTTGCATAAAATGGGTATCGATTCGATGCAGCTCGTCACGGGGAGTCCAATGGTGGTCTTTGTTTTGCTCTACGAGGTCTAGAATTGCCAAAAATTGAGTTTGAATATTTGACGTCATCATTTTTGAACAGTTCTTTCGCTATAACTTGGCCAAAAAAACGAGGTATCGATCTGAAATTTGGTATGTAGATAGAAGACGGTAGGTACTATCACATATATTCCGGTTTTTTTCGAAAATCAAAAAACTTTTTGGATTTTTCGGCTTATATATCCAAAAAAATGCATTTTTGATTTTTGGGGGTCAAAACTCAAAAATTTCAAAAATCCGAGACAGCAGTTTTGTAGCCCTGTCAATTCTACACCTTTTGTGTCTTGATCATTTTTTTGTATCTTCAAAGCTGTAGGCCTGACAGGTCTTCTCGCGAAGGTCTTTTTTCGGTCGAAAATGACAGAACATGACGTCATTTTGACGTCATTTGTGGCCAACCTATTATAGCCTCTGGAAAAATTTTTGGTCACAATGTGTAAAATCGATGCCCGGAGGGGTCCTGAAAGTTTGGTGGCGATATCTCCAGCCGTTTAGGAGATATCGACCGAAAAGGACAGGGGGGGCCATATCGGCCCCCCCTACGGGGCGCGGGTTAAAAACTAAGGGACATTTGGTAAGTTTTACGTTACATTGTTAATCCTCGCCCCACAGGGGGCCAATATGGCCCCCTGTGGATTTTCCTGAATAGCAATTAAACAGCGGCGCGCAGCGCAGCCATATTTTCAGTACCTTCCTGGGCATCAATTTGACACCTTTACAAAAATGCTATCTATCACTATTACTGCTCACTATTAGCAGTCAGCTCGTATGCAGCATGTAGTGTCATCCCTACCTATGTCTCAGCACGTGCTAGCGTGGCAGCTCCCACACCATTCACCTACCATGTCTATATGTGTCTGTGTTTCCCAGCCTGTCCGCGTGTCACTGCCGGGGCTCTACAGAGGCTGCTCTCTGCCCTCACCGTCCTGGAGGACGTCACACTTGGCGGCTCTCTGTCCGGCGCCATCACAGACGCCTCACTTGCCGCCCTCCACGGCTGCTCCCAGCTGCGTAAAATGCAGCTGGGGGACAGAGTGGACCAATGTACGGATATACCGGTCACAGCGGTCAGCAGGTCAGTCAGCTGTACATCCAGACCAGACTCAGACTAGACCCAGACCAGACCCAGACCCAGCCCAGACCAGACCCAGACCAGACCCAGACCAGACCCAGACCAGACCAGACCCAGACCAAATCCAGACCACCAGACTCAGACCATTTCTACCTAGATAAGACCAAACCAATGCATGACGCTATGCTATATGCATTGTCTGTTTGTGTACACTGTTGCTATGCATTGTGCTTAAAAGATTGGTATGTATTGTCACTAACGAGCATACAGACCAATAGTAGTAAGCACTATAGCTATTAGCTGGCGCACGGCATCGGGGCCGGACCCTCACCGGGACCGGACCGGACCTGACTTGAACTGGCCCTGTGGAGACCGGACCCGTCCCTTCCAGACGGCCGGTCGGCCGGCTGGTGTCGCTGACTGGCCTGTGTTCTGTTCTGTCGCAGGCTGGTGGTTACCTGTCGGAAACTGGAGGCGCTGCTCTTTATCGCAACGGAGGAGCTCAGTCAGAGGGTCCTGGACGCCCTGGTCCGGGCAGACCTGGGGAAACGCGATGACGGCACGCCGAGAACACTGAGGTTCAAAGTCCCAGGTGAGTGACGGCACCGCCCAGCGTCTCTGATCAGTCCCACAACAGACGGCACGGCGCCACCGGCCTCTCGGAGACGCTGTCGTACACCCTCTCAACGGGTCGAGATGAGCACATAACGCTGATGTGACGTCACAACTGATATAAACTGATAGTGATGTCATTCATATATAGATATGAGTCTAGACTCATATGTGGCGTGAATGGTTGTTCATGTATGAACAATACCAAACACTAGCTGATACCTGTGGTAGGTTAGCCAGTATATAGTAAGATGACGTAAGATATATAGTAAGATGACGTCACTCGTATTTAGGTAGCTAATTGGTATGGCTTGAGCTCTGACACGGTGTGTGGTATGAATTGATGGTATGGACATGTTCACTGTACTGTGGTCTTCACTGTTTATTTGTGCAACTCTGTGTACAAGGTATTAGCGTGCAAGTGTGTGATTGCAACTGCCCGATATTCTTTTAATGTGTGTTTCTTTTCTTTTAACCCGCGCCCCACTGGGGTCTGCGTATAACACGCCCTACTGGGGGGGGGGGGGGCTATTCATAGCCCCCCCCTCCTAACTCCGAAACTACTGGGCCGATCGTCAAAATTCAAACGGCGTCTGATAGCCCCGGAAAAACTGTCGAGCGAAACCTTATTTCATTGACCTTGAGGTCACCGATGACGTCACAGGTCAGGTCAAAGAAAAAATTATTAGCATTTTGCTTGTTCGCGTTTTGGGCTCTGGCCGCCGTCTTACAAGTCAGATCAGGCTCATTTTTGGTTCACACACTCGTGAACAGATGCTCTAGATACCCTGAGGGTACCAAACTTGTACTTTGATTTTCAGGTCAAGGTCAGGTCATACAGGTCACGAAAATATTATATCATGCGTCGGTCACGTGACACATGTTTTATGGTCCACTTAGGCCAAAAATTTCGAATTTGATGTCGTCTGTGTCATTCGAGGTCATTTTGAGTCGAATTTAGCTTAGGTCAGGTCACTTTCAGGTAAAAAAAGGTCAAATTTTGAAGTTATAATTTTTCAACAGAAAAGGTGTCTATTGGATGCAGTTTGAGCTCAGGAACACGATGGTGCTATTTATATTGGTGTACGATGTCAAATACGTGCTGAAAAATTGATTTGAAAAATTTATAATTGTGAATTTTTTGCAATAATGCGTATAACTTGGCCATTTTTGAAGATATTTAGCTAAAACTTGCTAGAGTTAGTCATAATAACGCGTTCTATCACATATATTCCGGTTTTTTCGAAAAGTCAAAAAAAAAGGAAAAAAATGTAAAAATGTAAATTTTGAATTTTATTATATAAAATATTCAAAATTTTCAAAATTTCCAAAATCTGAGATAACAGTTTGATAGCGCAGTCTATTCTGAGTCCTCTCATGCAAAGAACTTGAATCTAGCTTAAAAACTGAGCCCTTGGGAGCGATTGCCGTGGTTCAATGTTTTGCGTCGAAATCGGCCGAACATGACGTCACTCTGACGTCATTTCCGGCCGACCTATGGTAGCTACGAAGTTCAAATTTTGACACAAGGTGTCAAATTGATGCAGCCGAAGGTACTGAAAGTTTGGCGTCGATACGTCAAGCGGTTTGGAAGTTATTGCAGAAAAACGGGAGGGGGGGCTATAAATAGCCCCCCCCCCGTGGGGCGCGGGTTAATGCTCGATATTCTTTTAAGCTAGAATTTTTAAATGTCACAAAATAATGAATCTGATGATGCTGTAAAGCGAAAGCTCATTCTCATATTTGGCCTATTTTACAATAAAAGTTTTACATTTCTGCCATGTTATTGATCATTTTTGCATATTGATGCCCGATATTCATTTGAATTCATGTTACCGGGACGTTACCACATACTCAGTTCACGTACATGTCTTCGTTGTTATGTCTTCGTTGTTGTTATGTCTTCGTTGTTATGTCTTACATGTCTTCGTTGTCGTTCGTTGTTACATGACTTTGGTGCTGAATTAGGCTTGCGTAGATAGATACTATCATTGGCGGATCCAGAAAGGCAATCTTTGATGCTGCGGGTGGGGCATACCCCCCCCCCCCCAAAAAAAAAATCTCCAAATTCCAAAAACTCATCGAATTTCGGTTCCTTAGGCACTGCTACGCAGCTTAACCTGCGAGTTGCTGGGGGGAGGGGGGCGTTAACCCTCGCCCGTAAACGGTGTTTTGCCACCTTCGCCCATGCAGGGGGGGGGGGGTTGGTGCGACCCCCCTGGCGTTTGAAAACGGAGCGTCGTAGAGCTTAGCGGAAAAAAACCAACGGATTGCTCTCAACGAGATCTCGCGATTGGTGGTATATTTTTTGGTCCTAGGTCAACATTTGACCTACTTATGACCGGTCAAAGGTCAAATTTTCTGAAAAATCTAACTTTTTTAGATTTCCGCGCCGATTGCGGCAAAACGGTCAGAGATATCAACTTAAAACCTTCACTATCGTGATCCTCGATCAATTCTCTATCGTTTGGTGTGTGTTTCGATGTCATAACTCTAAAAATGATGCGTTGTGAGCATCGGAAGTCTGCAAGGTCATTTGTGCATTGGGTCACGTCAGGCGTGTGACGTCACTGACCTGACCCTGACCCAAAATGAACTACAAGAAACAACCGACGATGCCTGAAATGGATAGCAAATTCGAATTCAGGGCATCAAAATACTCCAAAAAGGCATACAAGTGGCAATAAGTCATTACAGGTCAACCGAGGTCACTGACCTTACCTTGACCTTGAGTAACCTTCAAAAGTTCAACGGACATTGTGCCAATGTCATATCAGCCAGTTGTGATTCTAAAACAATCCATCAGTGTGTCAGGTCAGTCGGCATTTATACCAATGTGAAGCAATCTCCAATTTAGCGTAAATCTGGCCGGAGGTTGTTCCATTTATGACGTCATAACTCCGTGACCTGACATGACCTTGACAAAAAAATACCAAAAGTTGCGCAAACGATGCCTCAAAGGGTACTGAAAATTTGGTCAGGCTATCTGAAACGGTTCGGCGTGTAGCTAAGAAAAACCTCAGGGGGGTGCACCAACCCCCCCCCCCCCCTACATGGGCGAGGGTTAAACGCCCCACTTTTATCGCCGCGCTATAGCGTAAAAACGGCAAAATTTAAGTACCTGTAGGGAATTGATTGAAGTTTGTTGTGACAAATAAAAAAAAAATCGGTAGGATTTTTTTTTAGATATCGAGGTTTTAGTGACGTCATGATTTCTGAGTTTTCGGCCAAAAACGGCATGTGTTCAAAAAATCATATAAAATCACAGAATAGACAATAGACGCACAGACATGCCGTAAACGCCATTAGACTGCCAATACTACGAACAATCAAATGGTTATCTTCGATTTTTCATTATGGTTCCGCATTTTCAAAAATCTTGAACTGAATCTTGGCAATTACTCGTGACTACTTCACGACCATGATACATGCATTTCCTAAATTGAACTTTTTGAACCAAACACGTACACATATGATAAAATGAATGTCACCATCGTGTTCTACGCCCAAAATTACACATACAACATGTGTCACGGGCTGCGAATATCAGTTTTGGTTTTTGGGGATATTTGCCTTCCCGGTTGACCTGACCTTGACCCTGACCTATGCTTGACTGACCCCTACATGGAGCTGACACTCTTGTAGGCCTTATATGAAGGATTGTGCACCGTTTTGAGAGAGTTTATGACGAGAGGCGCCCATTGCGAGGTTCTGAAGTCCATGCTACTGAAAGCCCGATTTCAGGTGTTTGACGTGACCTTGACCCGACCTGTGACGTCTAAATTCAATTTTAAAGTACTCATCTGAAGCGTCTCGTCGCGTTCTTTCGTTTGCCGCCTCGTGTGTTTCGCTGCGCCAGTTGGTTCTCGAGTTATCGGCTGGGGGCGTTTAACGCCCCCCCCCCCCAGGGGCCCGGGAACGATTTTCAAGTTGGGGGGGGGCGAGCCTAAAATACCTGACATGATGCATATGAAACAGTGGCGTAGCTAGGGGTCTAAGGGGACACGTACCCCCCCCCCCCCCCATCGGGTTCAAAGGGACCTTCGGTTCCGAGGGGCCCTGCGGCGCCATTTGACCGCTGAAGGTCAAACCGCTGACGCCCCATGTGGCTCGTTAGAGCACCTCATGGGCCCTAAATAGCCACACTAAGATCTCCATAAGGGCCCCACGCCGGCTTCTGAGCGCCTCTTGCGCCTTTTCAGGGCACCTCGGTGGTCTCCTCTGAGAGTCCTTATCGGCCTATGAGGGGCCAGTTCTAGGGGCATTTCCCGCCTGTGATGGTCCCAGACTTATTTTTCTGAGGGCCCCATAACGGCAACTATGGGGCCCTCATCGGCGCCTATGAGGGCCCACACCGGTGTCTCTGAGGGTTTCACACCCCCAACACTGAGTGCCTACACCAGTGCCTATTAAAATTAAGCCCTGTATCGGCGGCTCTGAGGACCCAACAAACACCTGTGCATCTGAAGGCCACCCACTGGTGACTTTTGAGGGTCCCACACCGGTGAGTCTGAGGGCCCCACCGGCGTCTGACAGTACCATGCCGGTCTCTAAGGACCCCACAGGACTTCTTCTGCCGGCCTAAGGACCCCTTGCCGGTCACTGAGACCCCCTGCGGGCTTGTAGAGAGTTCGCGTCAGCAGCTCTAAAGCCCCCACACCCGTCTGTAACGGCTCCACACCAGCGTCTATGAGGGCCCACAGCAACGCCTGTAAGGACCCTCATCGGCGCCTCTGAGAGAATCACACTAGCACCTCTGAGCGCCCACACCGGCACCTGGTGTGGGCGGCACCTGGTGGTAAAGGCCCCTTACCGCCGGCTCTGAGCGCCCTACGCCGGTGATTCTGAGGGTGCTGCCGATAACCGAAGGCACCACATAAGCCCTTAGTGTCGCTGAGCTTTAATCCCATACCGGCCCTCTAATGTATCCCATGCATCCCATCCCATACCGAGGGCGCCACGTCAGTGCACTCATTGCCCCACACCCCTCCCTCACACCCGGAGCGGGTAAACTGTGTTATACCTATAGCAACGATTTTGCCACCGTTGTACGTTATGCATTTCTCAAAGTTGACTCAAAATGGTCCAGTATAAAACTGGCCTGCCAAGCTTATGGCCAAGGTCAGGCCCAAATCAAAGCGGGATGACAATAGCAGATGTTGTCAAATCGATACTGTATCAGCAGAAACCATTCAGATGGCAAGGAAAATGCCGTGTGTTGATGTTTAGATGTATAAAGGAAACAAGAAGGAAAGAAGTCCGGAAAAGGGAGGAAAGACCTTTTCTCGCTGCCTCAATGTTGAGGGGGCGCCGCCCCCTCAGCTCCCAAGTTGGGGGGGCAAGCGCCCCCGCTGCCCCCCCTGTTCCCGGGTCTATGCCCCCCCCCCCCCCCCCAGCAAACGGCGGGTGGCGACATACCCCAGCAACTGCCGGGTTAAAACAAACCCTTTCCTAATAAAAGTTGTTTAGTTTTCGTTTTATTCCTCAAAAACCGCAAATTTTCGTCGATTTCGGGCGCTGCGGGGGGGGGGGGCATTGGCCCAAATGCCCCCCCTGGGTCCGCCAGTGGATACTACAAACCAGTTTTGTGGTGTCGGACTTGTGAAAATAAATGGACCTATCCAGCATGTCCATTCGTGTCTGGTTGATAGCTCTACTTTTGTATTGTATTGTACATGGGTGGACCAAAAAGGATGGAAACATTTTGAACTCGCATAAAACATGCATTATTGTATGCATGTAACTGAAAATGGTACCAAACGAGAGTATATTTCGTGGAAATTCATAACGGCATCACTCTCATCTCCTTTCTCTCGTTTTCAGTCTCTCACAGCAAATGTTCGAAGAGACTAGTTTCGCGAGACAGGCACAGAGCGGCCGGTCTGGTGGCTGACGCGATAGCCCGACGACACATGTTCGCTGGTATGGCTCACACAGTCTTGGTGATCGCTCTCTTCATCAGGTCACAGAGACCTTCCTTGTAGACCTGGCCCTTGAGATGAGATGATAGAGAAGTCACTGCACAGCAGCAAGGTCACCGCAATGGTGTGCCCTCAGCGGAAAATGAATCGTGGGTCCACTTTGGTTCGAGGAAGGGAGCGGCGACACCGTGACCGTCAATCAACAGCGCATACCAGGCGGCGCTGAGGAAGTTCTGAGAGTGAGTCCAAACGAAGCATGGCAGCCTCATCATACACCTTATGTGGTTCCAGCAAGACGGTGCGCCTCCTCACATCGCAAAAACAACGCTCAAGTGCATCGAAAACCACTTCAGTGACCGGCTGATATCCCGCGGTGCCAGTCGGAACTGGCCTACCTGCTCATCCGACCTGACCCCTATGGATGTTTTACTGTGGGGTCATCTCAAGGGCCAGGTCTACAAGGAAGGTTCAGACTTCAGAAAGCCTCTGAACTGAAGATAGCGATCAACAAGGCTGTGTGAGCCATACAAGCGGGCTATCGTGTCAGCAGCCAGGCTGGTCGCTCTGTGCCTGTCTCGCGAAGGTGGTCATTTCGAACATCTGCTGTGAGAGACTGAAAACGAGAGAAAGCATATGAGAGTGATGCCATTATGAATTTCCACGAAATGTACTCTTGTTTGGTATCATTCCCAGTCACGTGCATGCAATGATACATGTTTTATACGAGTTTAATTAACCCTCGCATGTGTGCGGCGTTTGCCACTTCTAATGTGTAGGGGGGGGGGGGTCGGTTGGACCCCCCCTTGCCGTTTGGCCCCTGATCGAGCTAGAGCTTCGCGGAAAAAACGAGCGTGTTGCCCGTGACGAGAGGAAGCCGATGATACCCAATTTTAAGGTCCTAGGTCATTGGTTGACCTTCCAGGTCAGGTCAATGACCCAAGGTCGGGAAAATCGGGACCTGTTAGAAAGTCGTAAAGTGTGGCTGCTAAGGGGTTTTTCGGGGTGCTGATCACGAAAATCGTGTTACTTTTGATCACAGATGATGTCTTGAAGCATTTAGACCAGGTCGGGTCAGGTCAGGTCAGGTCAACCAGTAGGCGTCGTGACGGGTATTCGTAGTACGTGTCAACCGCCTCTGACAGCTTCGTAACATGTTACGAAGTCACCAAAACTACTTCGTAAATGTTCAAATGGTTGCTAAATTCGAATTCAGCTCCAAAAACTAGCCTAGAAACATGTAAAACTCGAAAAAGTGAACCGAGGTCACCCGAGGTCACCAAAGGTCAATGACCTGACCTGACCTTCAGGTGACCTTGACACACACGGGAGTAACATCAAATCACATGTTTGAAGGTTTGAAACCACGAAAAGCTTGCAAACACGCGGCTAGTGCGAGCCGACATACGCGAAATCGCGATTCCGGCCAAACATGGTCTCGGAAAAGAGGTCACAGGTCAAAGGTCATTTAGGTCAGGGTCATGACATTTTCAGGGTAGGTGTAAAATTGATCAATGCGAGGGTACTGAAAGTTTCGTCGCGACCGGCCGCTTTTTACGCGAGTTATTCGCGAAAAACCATGGGGGGGGGTCCATCCGACCCTCCCCCCCCTACACATGCGAGGGTTAAAATGTTTCCATCCTTTTTGGTCCACCCTGTATTGTATTGAACAATCATGAACGATCCACATTCTCAAAGTGCGTGGCGATTACTGCTCATTTAGTTACTGCATGGACCATGACGTACTCAACCGATCATGTGATGTGTGTGCCATTATGGGGCGTCATATCAGAAGTCCGAACTTGTGATAAGTGTTATACCACATTAAACAAAGCTCGTTAAGTCGTACTTCGTACATCGAAATATGAGAAACATTTTCCCCATTGTGTATGAGTTGTCATTTGTAACCCATCTTACTGGTGTCTTACCCGCAGAAGCTGTTTATGATAAACTGATCATACCGTCGGATACCGGCAACATCAAAGTACTAAGACTGAGGGACGACAAATCCTGCGGTTCATCTTTGAAGCTCATCTTTCCACCGGGCCATAGTGATGAGCAGCTGACGGCTCTGCTGGAGTCCCTCCGAACCTTGGAGGAGCTCACGGTCTCCATTCCTCCTGACTCGACGGGACGGTGGCTGCGGCTGCTGCCGCCGTCCTTGAGGCGCCTGGACGTTTACGGTGAGATGTCATTGATGAAACTTGTACCTAATCACACTGCTGTGTGGTGAGGACAGCGCTTAGTAGGTAGGTATTGCGATTGCAGCCATGCATGTGGGCTGTAATGTTTAGCCGATCCGATACCATATACAATGTAATATTAACCCGCGCCCTGCTGGGGGGGGGGGTGTTTGAACACCCCCCTTGTGGTTTTTCGCGAATATCTCAAAAACGGCGGGGCGGAGCGCCGCCGTTTTTGGTACACCTTATCATACATCAATTCTACACATGTTGTGAAAATTTCAGACCAAGGTCATTCAAGGTCAGGTCACCAGGTCACTTGAAGTGACCTCACCTCATAAAAAGTTTTAATGTCTGTCATAGCTACACCAAGTGACCGATCGCTTTGAAACTTTCAGCGATTGCTAAGAGCAATAGCATGTACAAAATGTATATCTCAGAATTTTGATATCGATGACCTAAGGTCAGGTCAATTTTGCGACCTCCCCATTATAAGTCAATGGGAGAAAATTGAAATGCGCCTCTTTTGGACGAAAGACATTATAAACACTCCCTAACACCGAATTACAAGTGGTTTAGACACACTGAACATGAAAATGGTGTCCGTGACCCTTGTTTATGCCCTGAGGTCATCTTAGGTCACGAATGGTATCTAGCAGTTTTTCGCAAATAACTTTTGATAGAGGCATGCTAGAGCGATGAAAACGCCTTAGATGTGTTCAGCTCGACGATACGGATCGACTGATATGCAACATGACCATTTCCGGTCCGGTCATGACCTTGACCTGAGGTCAAATTTTCAAGTTGACCTTTTAAGGTCAAGTTATAGTTCATTCGATGCGTCTTGACGAGAGGAACACGATGCCGGTAAAAGTAAGCTCGTACAAGGCTTGGGTCAAAAGTTATTGCAGAAAAACTGTTTCCGAAAAAAATCGGCTCTTTTTGCAGTTTTTGCCCCCTGCAGGCAAAACCGTTGACGTTAGGTCAAATCTGAGAGAATTACTCAGAAAGAGCGTTAATAGGGCTATCGAATGCGCTTTTCCGCGGCGCTGTACCTCTATTGGTTCCCGAGTTACGCGTTGGCTTCTTGGAAATTTTCGACATTCGACCTGGAAATCGGCGAAATTTGCCTTCAATGACCTCTGGTGACCTGACCTTTGACCTGAGCAAAAAATTGACCGAAGTGATTTCGTCATTATTTTTGACGCTCTTTCGAACGCCGCCTTCCGCGTATCGCTACGTGGCCCAGGAGCCGAGTTACAAGGGGGGGTGTTCAAACACCCCCCCCCCCCCAGCAGGGCGTGGAAATCCAGGACCCCCAGCCGGGCGCGGGTTAATCTACACACAAAAACAGTGTTTTAGCGGGCAGTGGCATCATCACAGTAAAATGTGTAATGCGTATTCACTGTAACTCTTGTCAAAATTATGATAGACGTTGTTTTGAAGACCACATGCTCTACAAATGATCATATGAAACCGACGCGTAATGTTGATCATGGCCTGACATCCAATACCTACAGATAGTTTTGACAGCATCGTCGATAGTGTTCAATCTCTATTGTTCATAGTTCATGGTCCATGCTGAGCTATGTAGGTATAACAATATGTGTGCTTGTATACAACAGACATTGCCAAACTCATTCCTATCAGTGACGAGTCGGCTGTGTTGGTGTCAGTATCGGCTGTATCGTTGTTAGATACCATAGTATCAGCGGCCTCCCGACCCGGCGGCAGCTCCGTCCGACTGCAGTCAGCTGACGCGGCTCTCACTCCGACAGGACCGGGGGAGACGGGGAAGCCGCTGACACTGGCCCGACAGCCCGACCATGGGCTGGAGGTCGTCATACAACAGGCGGGAGATGACGTCATCAACCAGCTGTCCAAGGAGCTGGGACCACGGGTTACCGGGCTGAATATGTTCAGTGAGTGGCGGTGACACGGACAGGTTATCGTTATGTGTGGTTGGGTATACTGACGAACACCATATACCAACTAAGCACGGCAACACCGTTCGGGGAGAGGTGAAGCACGAACTGTGATAAGAGTAAAAGTCATGTCAGATACTTTTGCTGGTATATTTGGTATATCATATACGTAAATGACGGATATGACGGATATGTCGATATTCATTTCCGTGGGGTGTGTGTGTCGCCAACATGGTGTTGGCGACCTGTGGTGAGTGCTCCATATAAATGCATAACCAATCACCAATCACCAGTTATGTGGATGTGTTGTTTCATTTTCTGCTTGGCAGCTCTTCATTAGTAGGCATCATTACTTGTACACATAATGCATATACATATAGGTATACATGCATGCGTGTATAGCTACTTCTTTGCAGATACATACATAAACTGTACATACATACATGCATACGAACTTACATATACACAAATATACATACAAATAATATTAACCCGCGCCCTGCTGGGGGGGGGTGTTTGAACACCCCCCCCCCCTGTGGTTTTTCGCGAATATCTAAAAAACGGCGGCGCGGAGCGCCGCCGTTTTTGGTACACCTTATCATACATCAATTCTACACATGTTGTGAAAATTTCAGACCAAGGTCATTCAAGGTCAGGTCACCAGGTCACTTGAAGTGACCTCACCTCATAAAAAGTTTCAATGTGTGTCATAGCTACACCGAGTGACCGATCGCTTTGAAACTTTCAGCCATTGCTAAGAGCAATAACATGTACAAAATGTATATCTCAGAATTTTGATATCGGTGACCTAAGGTCAGGTCAATTTTGCGACCTCCCCATTATAAGTCAATGGGAGAAAATTGAAATGCGCCTCCTTTGGACGAAAGACATTATAAACACTCCCAAACACTGAATTACAAGTGGTTTAGACACACTGAACATGAAAATGGTGTCCGTGACCCCTGTTTATGCCCTGAGGTCATCTTAGGTCACGAATGGTATCTAACAGTTTTTCGCAAATAACTTTTGATAGAGGCATGCTAGAGCGATGAAAACGCCTTAGATGTGTTCAGCTCGACGATACGGATCGACTGATATGCAACATGACCCTTTCCGGTCAGGTCATGACCTTGACCTGAGGTCAAATTTTCAAGTTGACCTTTCAAGGTCAAGTTATAGTTCATTCGATGCGTCTTAACGAGAGGAACACGATGCCGGTAAAAGTAAGCTCGTACAAGGCTTGGGTCAAAAGTTATTGCAGAAAAACTGTTTCCGAAAAAATCGGCTATTTTTGCAGTTTTTGCCCCCTGCAGGCAAAACCGTTGACGTTAGGTCAAATCTGAGAGAATTACTCAGAAAGGGCGTGAATAGGGCTATCGAATGCGCTTTTCCGCGGCGCTGTATCTCTATTGGTTCCCGAGTTATGCGTTGGCTTCTTGGAAATTGTCGACATTCGACCTGGAAATCGGCGAAATTTTGCCTTCAATGACCTCTGGTGACCTGACCTTTGACCTGACCAAAAAATTGACCGAAGTGATTTCCTCATTATTTTTGACGCTCTTTCGAACGCCGCCTTCCGCGTATCGCTACGTGGCCCAGGAGCCGAGTTAGAAGGGGGGGTGTTCAAACACCCCCCCCCCCCCCCCCAGCAGGGCGTGGAAATCCAGGACCCCCAGCAGGGCGCGGGTTAAATGTGTTCATTATCACTATTTACCGCTCAATATTAACAGTCAGCTCGTATGCAGCATGCAGTGTCATACCTGGCTATGTCTCAGCACGTGCTAGCGAGTAGCGTAGCAGCTCCCACGCCATTCACCTACCATGTCTGTATGTGCCTGTGCTTTCCAGACTGCCCGCGTGTCACTGCCGGGGCCCTACAGCGACTGCTGTCCGCCCTCACCGGCCTGGAAGACGTCACACTTGACGGCTCTCTGTCCGGCGCCATCACTGACGCCTCACTGGCCGCCCTCCACGGCTGCTCCCAGCTGCGTAAAATGCAGCTGGGACAGCCATATGTACTCTGTACGGATATACCGGTCACAGCGGTCAACAGGTCAGTCAGCTGTACACTCAGACCAGACCAGATCAGACCCAGACATAGAGCAGACCCAGACCAGACCCAGACCCAGACCCAGACCCAGACCCAGACCCAGACCAGACACAGACCAGACCCAGACCAGACCCAGACCAGACCCAGACCATACACAGACCAGACCCAGACCAGACCCAGGCCAGTTCTAGATAGACGGGACCAATGAATGCCACCACGTATTGTCTGCATGTGTACACTGTTACCATGCATTGTGCTTAGAGCCTTGGTATGTATTGTCAGTGTCATGCTAACGAGCATATAGACCAATAGTAGTTGGCACTATAGCTGGCGCATCAGGGCCGGACCCTGACCGGGACCACTGAGCGGACCTGACTTGAACTGGCCCTGTGGAGACCGGACCCGTCCCCTCCAGACGGCCGGTCGGCCGGCTGGTGTCGCTGACTGGCCTGTGTCCTGATCTGTCGCAGACTGGCGGTTACCTGTCGGAAACTGGAGTGGCTGAATTTTAACGCAAAGGAGGAGCTCAGTCAGAGGGTTCTGGACGCCCTGGTCCGGGCAGACCTGGGGAAACGCGATGACGGCACGCCGAGAACACTGAGTTTCAAGGTCCTAGGTAAGTGACGGCGCCGCCCAGCGTCTCTGATCAGTCCCACAACGGACTGCTCGGAGCCACCGGCCTCGGAGCCGCTGTCGCACACTCTATCAACGGGTGGAGATGAACATATAACGCTGATGTGACGTCACAACAGATAAAACAGTATAGTGATGTCATTCATATGTAGATTCGAGTCTACCCTCATGCAGGGCTGCGGAGTCGGAGTCGGAGTCGGAGTCGGAGTCGGTCGGAGTCGACAGTTGTGACCGGAGTCGGAGTCGGAGTCGGAGTCGATTTTAGAAACCCGAGCCGGAGTCGGAGTCGGAGTCACCGAAAATCTGTCGACTCCGCAGCCCTGCTAGGTCTGCGGAGTCGGAGTCTGGAGTTGGAGTCGGTCGGAGTCGACAATTCTGCCCGGAGTCGGAGTCGGAGTCGGAGCTGGTTTTTGAAAGCCGGAGTCGGAGTCGGAGTCGGAGTCGCCGAAAATCCATCGACTCCGCAGCCCTGCCCTCATGTGTGGCGTGAATGGTTGTTCGAGCATGGGCATACCAAGCACTAGCTGATGCCTAATGATAGGTTAGCCGGTATAGTAAGATGACGTCACTCATATTTAGGTAGGTAATTGGTATGGCTTTTGGCTTGGGCTCTGACGCGGTGTGTGGTATGAATTGGTGTTATGGGCATTTTCACCGTTTGTGGTCTTCACTGTTTTTTGTGCAACTCTGTGTATAAGGTACTACATACAGTGTGCAGTTGTGTGATTGGAACTACCATATTCATGTGGTTACCCGGGACGTAACTACATAGAGTTCACGTAGGTACTGTCATTGTTACATGTCTTTGGTGCTGAATTGGGCTTACGCAGATATATACCACAAACCAGTTTTGTGACTCAGACTGGTGTCGGACTTGTGAAAATAAATGAACCTATCCAGCATGACCATTTGTGTCTGGTTGATATAGCTGTACCTACTTTTGCATTTAGTTACTGCATGAGACAGTATGTGCTCACCCGTGCTGTTTTTTGCCATTCTGAGGCGTCTCATCAGAAGTCCAAAGTTGGTGATGTGTTAAATCATATCACGTTAAACGAAACTTTGTTTAGTTCGTACTTCGTACTTATTTTGAACTATGAATGAATTTTCCTCATTCTGTATGAGTTGTCATTTGTAATGTAACCTCTATTTCGTTGTCTTATCCGCAGGAGCCGTTTATGACAAGCTGAACATACCGTCTCATACCGGCAGCATCGAGGTTGTGAGGGGCCCAAACACTAGATGGGATTATCACTTGTAACGACTCGCCGACACCTACAGCGGTGTCAGCGGTGATCATTCTCGGTGAGTACACCAGGTGGCAGCACTTTCCAAACTAGGTGGCAGCACCATCGTATCCTCACCATGCGATATCAGTATGACACGGCAACGGCAGAGGGTAGGTAGAACATTTAACCCTAGAACGCCTAGGGGGGGGGGGTGTATCAACCCCCCCCCCCCTGAGGTTTTTTCCAAGTGCACGCTAAACGGCTTGTCGTAGCGGGCTGAAATTTTCAATACCCTCTGGGGCAACCTTTGCGCATCTTTTGCCGAAAAAAATTGATCGGGTCATGTCAGGTCACGGAGTTATGACGTCATAAGAGGTACAGCCTCCGGCCGACAGTTACCAAACGTGTGCGCCGAATCCCTAGGTTTTCTGCCGGTGCTACCCACATTGTTTGATGGATCATGATGAAACTTCCCATGCATGTTGGGGCAAGCATTGGCTATCGTGTGGTGCAAGAAAATTGACCGGGTCAGGTCAGGTCACGGAGTTATGACGTCACAAGAGGAACAGCGTCCGGTAATATTTTTGAAAAGCGCCCGAACCACTATTTTGCTAATTCTTGTCACCTCAATGGGAATATGCAGCAATATTAGCTTCTATAGGGAGCAAATGGACCTCCCAGATCCAAAAATACAATCAGATTTCAAAAAATTAAATTTTGATTTTTCGAATTTCTGCCGCCGACTGTGACCTTGCCGACTTCCGGCGCTCCCAACGCGCCATTTTTAGAGCTAGGGAAACGAAATACATAGGTACCAAACGATAGAGAATTGATCAAGGAGCACGATAGTGAAGGTTTCAAGTCGATATCTCCCACCGTTTTGCCGTAATCGCCGCCGAAAGTTGAAAAAGTCTATTTTTCCGAAAATTTGACCTTTGACCGGTCAAAAGTAGGTCAAATGTTGACCTAGGACCAAAAAATATACCACCAATCGCGAGATCTCGTTGAGAGCAATCCGTTGGTTTTTTCCGCTAAGCTCTACGACCTTCCGTTTCGAAACGCCAGGGGGGGGGTCGTAACAACCCCCCCCCCCTGGTCGTTCGTGTTATGAGAAATGGCCTGGTCGTGCGAGGGTTAACCCTCGCCGGACCTATTGGTTTTCTACATACGCGCCGGCCGAGGGGGGGGGGGCGGGTACGACCCCCCCCTCGCCGTTTCGCCCCTGGTGGAGCTAGCGCGTCGCGGAAAAACGAGCGTGTGCGCCGTTACGAGACGCAGAGATTGGTACCCGATTTTAAGGTCCTAGGTCAACCGGTGACCTCTGAGGTCAGGTCAAGTGCCCCAGGGTACGGTTCAGTTTTTGGTGAATAACTTCGCAAAAAAAACGGCCGCAGAGCCGCGATTTTGGCAGCATCGTGTTCGCCTCGCTCAGGCGCGTCGAATGATATACTTTTTGTCCGGGTCAGGTCAACTTTGGGTGTTGACCTCAGGTCAAGGTCAGGTCAGCACCCCCAGGTCACGAAGTTGGTCGAAAGAGGTCATGTCGCATATCATTCGATTCGGCAGGTCTTCCTGAGTCCATTGGTGGCTTTCTCGACTCGCTAGCTCAATTTGATCAAGAGTTATTGACGAAAAACTAATATGACCTTGATGACGTCATAAATGACGTCACGCAAGGTCAACATTGCAAAAGTGACGCATCTAACCTTGCAAGGAGTGCATCAAATCACGATTCTGTGTGCTTGAGATAGTTGGAGATCGTTCCCGGCGCCAGAATAGCAGTTTTCATTTTTCCCCATTGACTTATAATGGTGAGGTCACGAAAATGACCTGACCTCATATGACCTTTAGGAAAAATCCGAGATATACAAGTTGTGAGACTCATAATGGATACTAGATCCTGCAAGTTTCATTTCCCTGTGACATCTCCTCTGGCAGTGAGGGCGTTGCGAAGTTGCGACATCTGAAGACCGTGCAGAGGTTCACTTATGACGTCATAGGTCAGTGACCTGACCTGACCCAAAAATGCGGTTGGTGTCAAAAGATGTGGCTTGGATCAAAGGTCAGGTATGCCAAGTTTCAGCTCTCTATCGCCAGCGTGTTCGGAGCTATCGCGAAAAAACCCTATGGGGGGGGGGGCGGCACCCGCCCCCCCCCCCTCGGCCGGCGAGGGTTAACATCACAACATTTTGTCATCAATTAGTACGCACCTAAGCGATTGGTCGTTGCGACCAATATCTTGGAAAGGCGAAAGCAATGCGAACAAATAGATTTCACTCTGAGGTCTGAGTTCTGAGTATTTAGCGGTGGACTTGAAGGTCACTGCCCGAGATGAGATGCCTTACCGTACTACTCCCGTGACGTCACTTTGTTCCACGTCTCAGTGACATCACTGTTTTGTCATTTTGTCTGTTCTTGTCACTTGTATATACCCCAAACTGCATTCTATAGATGTCATTGGAGACCTGTGATGACGTCACTTATTTTCATACTCCATTAATTCCTCTGCTGACGTCACTGTGCGCCTCACGTTCCCACGTGAGAGAGCGCCTATGTGACAATCCACTGTGAAAGGAGAATGTTCTTATTACAAATTGTCAACAATACTGCTTGGACAAGTAAGGTTAGGTTAGCTTGTTTTTTTTTTTCAAGACATACTTATTTAAAAATGTATTTCTATATAAGCTAACAAAAGAATGCGGCAATACGGCATTACTTATAGTCCAAACTAATAGTCGTAGTAATGACGTCATACCTACCTCGTCCGGCAGGCTCGTTCCCCCTTCTGATTGGCTCATCACAAGACGCCGAGGTGACGGACAAATGGGACGACAGTCTGCCGGGCTTTATTACCAACTGGGAGCTGGTGAAGCTGCGCTCCTTCAGCATCAGCGTGCACCGGGTGAACACGGTGGGGTCGAACATAACGCCTGCTCGTTCTTACTACGCTGCTTCTGCTTATGTGTCTTCTGTATCATGTATGATGAGAAACAATGACGTGATAGTTCGGTGAAAATCATTCAAATGATGTGAGCAATATTAGAGATTGTGTGACTTAGGGAATACAAATATGGATAAGATGCACAGATAGATGATCATGCTGCCTTATCCAGCCTTATCCGTTAGAGCACCCTGCTCTACGGAATCGATAGAATGAACGCACCATATGTCCTTTACATTTCGAACGACGCCTGTGAAAACTGAATAGTTATTAGTGCGCTCAGTGTCTCCGTATCGATGCACCGTGCGGCGGTGTCAACAAACCCGACCGAGGGATGACTGCCAAGTTTGAGAGCCACCGAACCACCTGACCTTGGGATGGGTGACGATGGCTGAGGGGGGGGGGGGGGAGGAGGGGGCGGGCGAGTTTAGCCGGCGGTTCACCGCCCCTAACATTTACCGGGTATCGGTACTTTCGTGAGAGACTGTACATTCACATGGCGTGTGCTGTGAAATTTGCTGTTGGGTGTAAATTGGATAGAAACTGGTTGACGTGAGAAACAAGTGTAATTAATGGCTAAGTGCCGATATTATGCACGGCTATAGGGATAAGGGATAAGTGGCTTTTTCCACATTGTCTACAAATGTGTGAATGATGTATGAGCGCGAAAGTATGCAAACGAGACATACTTTTAGGACACCTGTATCGGAGAAAGGTAATTTTGCTACGCGTTTTTTGCTTTCTTACAGGACAACAGTTCTATACTTCACTCACATGAGAATGCTTTTGCTGCTTGAGATTGCTCACGATAAATACATGCAAGTTCTATCGTTTTTTTTCCATGCGTTCTTTTGCTACGCTGACCCTCGCCGGTGGGGAGGGGGGGGGGGGCAGAATCTGCCCATAACCGTTTTTCGGCAATATCCAGTAGATTCCCAGTAAACATGACGACGTCGGCCCGACGTCGGGCCGAGGCTCGGCCCGACGTCGGCCCAACGTCGGTTCAACCTCGGCCCGACATCGGCTGGACGTCGGATATGCCCGCATGTTCCGACGTCCACCCGAAGTCCAGCCGACGTCGAGCCGACGTCGAGCCGACGTCGGGCCGAGATCATTTGCCGAGGTTGACGAGATCGTTTGTCGTTGGACCGACGGGGCCGACGTCGGCATGTTTATTGGGACAACGCGCCAAAAATATCATCCGGCGGCGGGATTCGAGCCCCCCAGTCGCCGACGTCGGCATGTTTACTGGGACAACACGCCAAAAGCATCAGCCGGCGATGGGATTCGAACCCCGTGTCATTCGAACGCATGGTTAGTGCGCTAACCACTACACCACGCAGCCAGCTAACGAATTAGGTTTGTTTTGTTAGGTTATGCCCCTTCGGTCTGACAAGACCATTTCAGAGCCGGTAGGGTCATAGGATGGAGACATTGGTCTTCTTGGCGAGCACCCTGGGTCCAGTTCATATAGAGTCCCTGGTCCCATTGCTGTTACGTGACACTAATTGGAAAGGGCGACCCCACAATGGATTCATATAGCCACTCTTACACACCTGCACCAACGTTGCCCAAAGTGTCCCTTTGATAAGTGGCACTTTGGCAAAGTGACACTTGCCGACTGGCCTTTCTATATGAACTGGGCCCGGCCCTGGTGAGTTGCCGGGGCTGAGCCTGACCAAAGGATAGGCCGAGCAGCCCCCAAGCACTCACCGCACCCGGCTACGGGCGAGCTCGGCTTACGGGCAATCCCAAATGGGATAAAGTTTCCCGTCCAGTCCGGATCAGGGGGTTGCGGCGTGGAGGAAGATTTGAGTTTCCTGAGGATATTTTGAATACAGAAGCTCTTTATGAAACATGAAACATGCATTTTGTATTATTTTAACGGTCAAAACAGCGGCCGATGTCGGATCGACGTCGCCCCGACGTCGGCCCGACGTCGGCTAGACCTCAGCAATTGATCTCGGTCCGACGTCGGCCCGACGTCGGCTGGACCTCGGCTGGACGTCGGAACATGCGGGCATATCCGACATCCAGCCGACGTCGTGCCGAGGTTGGACCGACGTCGGGCCGACGTCGGCATGCCGATGCCGAGTTGCCGACGTCACCCCGACGTCGGCCGACGTCGGGCCGACGTCGGCATGTTTACTGGGTTAACGGTCGATAACGGCAGATAACAATGTTGGATAGCGATACCTACTTTGCTAACGAAAATAAAGCTTCGCGAAAAAACGAGCATATTGTATGTGTCGAGAGGAGGCCGATTCTACGCAGATTTGTCCATGACCTAGTTCATTGGTTGATCTTACAGGTCAAGTCAGTGACCCAAAGGTCGTAAAAATTGGGCGCTGCTAGAACTTGGTACAGTGAAGTTGTCTTGGGTTTCAGGGTCCTGCCCAGCTCATGGATATCGTTGGTTCAACGTTGTCAAAACGTTGCATTTCGGTAAGTTATGGTGTACAACGTTGTCAGGACGCTATGGCAACGTTACAAGCGTGCGTCGGCAAGGCTGCCGGAAGGTCCGTCATTTTACGTTTTGTATTTGTATTTGTATTTGACCACAGCAGACACTCCACAGACAATTCGTGGCTATTACGTGTCCTTAGTCAGATGGTAAGTAAAAGGGGTCATTAATGTCACGGTAAAAGACAGGTTAAAGTGAAACTCGCATACAGTCACACACACACATACTCACACGCACAGACAAACGCCTCATCACTCTATCGCCGGAAAAATTGTCTGGCGGCTCTTTTAAAACCCACCGGACCTAGTTGTACAACACACTCAGGGATCGAGTTTAAAAGGTGCGCCGCGCGATATTCAAATGAACGCTGTCCGGCTGCCGTACGCATGGCTGGCGGACGCAGGCGACGGTCCTGTCGAGTCACCCGGTCACCATCCCGTGTCTCGCCATGGGTGCGCAACAGCTCGACAAGGTCGCCAGGCTCTCGATGCAAGAGGGCCTTGTGGGCGGCGATTGCGGTCGAGTCCCTTCAGAATTCGAACAGCGAAATTTACCACTTTCATCAGCCTCCGATCATTCAACTCCGAACCATTTCCATAAACAGCGATACAATACCTCACGCGCGAGATGACCAGCCCCTGCACAATGGTGAACATCACGTGCCGCGGGAGGAAGTGCCTCAGGTGGCGGAGACCCAGCAGGAGACCCATGCACTTCTGAACCACATCAGTGACGTGAACGTCCCAGCTGAGGTGACGGTCGAAAATCACACCAAGGTTTTTAACGTGGGGGCTCTCCTGCAGGGTCTTCCCACCGACCCGCACGCTGACAGGTGGTAGGTTGCGGGTATTCTGCCGGGTGCCTAGGAGAAGGATTTCTGTTTTGGACGCGTTCAGGCCCATGTCACTCTACTTTTGATGACATCATAAGGGGGCCTCAGGACAATTAATGGCGCGGTGCGCCACAATCGCTCCCAAGCTACTTACCAACAGCTGCCATTTTTGAAAATACTATTTTGAAAAAAAGTTTCAAGTAATGAAAATATTGTAATAAAGTTGTAGCTTAAATCTATACCATATCTAAAAACTTACTGAGAAATGATTTATTCATAGTAAAAATATATGCTCGATGCGTTTTTACGTTGATTTCCTGCTGCTGCAGAGGGTTTTTAAATCGTCTGTATCTTAAAAACCGGCCATTTCTTAGCATATTGCTACTCTTTTTTGTCGCTGGAAAATTGGTTGGGCTTTCCATTGACATCAACGGTTGAGCGGTATGTGTAGAGTGCCATCAATAATCTTCAAATGAAGTTAGTCATTTTTACGTTGTAAAGGAATGGAGTACCCCTTGCGAGCATCAGGGATGACGTCACTCAGGATCTGTCTCTGATTGGTCGGCGGGGGAGTGACTGTACCTTCTATAGATGGCCTTGGACGAGTTGAGCAGGCCGTGTGCATGGAACCACGATGCAAGAGAAGAGAGGGTGGACTCCATGCGTAGGATGAGGTCAGGAAGGTTCGATAGGCGTTATCACGAGTGTATTCGCGGCCATTGGGGCGACGTAAGAAAAGAAGAAAACAACTGGCCCCAAGAACCTTAAATTATCAGTTAGCATGCACATTTTCCTTGATGTGTAGAGAATTTACCATAAATTGTTAGAGAAAATTGCATATAATATCTTCCATTTATGCTTTTTTCATCGTTTGCACAATGTGTTCTTTTACTTAGCTAGAAACACTAATAAGAAATAGTTCCCGCATCCGTCAAGAACAATAGGGAAGGCTTGAAGTTAATACAATAATCTAAACGGTTTTGTAATCTATGTGAAGACACTTCTAAAATTGCCTGTAGAAATATTGAAGGCAAAAAGTCAACTTCTTCACAAGACTGTTGTCTATACACCTATTCAACGTGTGACAACTCAGCCGGTATTTCTTCGCCTACAGCCCAGCTTTCCCTAGTGACCGATAGAGGCGCTGCTATCGATGTCCGCCCGTGCCGCCTAACGTGCGTTTGACATCGGATAGAAGGATTTGGGTGTCGTCAGCGTACTGGGTCACATGAGCGTCCGGCGCGTGTAGGCTGAGGTCATTGGCAAAGATGGTAAACAACAAAGGACCAAGGGCGGATCCCTGGAACACTGCCATGGTATTTGGGAGGGGTTTGGATACTACCTTGGGGCCGGAAGACGAGGATATGCTAACAGACTGAGTATGGCCAGAAAGATAGGATGAAAACCAGGTCGGGTCGATGCCATAGAGCTGAAGTTTGGATAGGAGCAGGTCGTGAGGGATCACATCGAAACACTTGCTGAGGTTAAGAAGGCATAACAAAGAGAGATGACCACGGTCCATATTGGAAAAGATACGGTTAGTGACGGACAGGAGTGCAGTTTCAGTGGAATGGTGGCGGCGGAAACCATGTTGGGATTGGGAGAGGAGGCAGTTGTCGGTCAGGTAAGCAAACAGCTGTCGCTGTACCAGACGTTCAACCGCTTTGGCCATGATAGGCATAGGCGCGGGAGCCGGGGGGCAGTGGGGGCAGCTTGCCCCCCAACTCTGGGGCCGTGGGGGCGGTGCCCCCACAGCTTTGAGACGGAATACCACACTTTTTTGCAAATGTTTTCTTTTTTGTTGAAAAGGCCGAGGGATGAAAAACAAGTGGCCTAAAACCGGTGAGAAAACTAGATTTGGGGGTACCCTAGGTTGATCTCTTTTATGGTGTGCCCCCCCCCCCCCCCCCAGTCGGAAAGTAGTTCCCGCGCCCCTGATGATAGGAATAATGGAAATAGGACGGTAGTTTGAAGGTAGGGTCGGGTCACCTGACTTGAAAATAGGATGAACCAGGGAGTGCTTCCAGGGATCGGGAAAGTCACTGGTGGTGAGACAGGTATTGACAATGTGGAGGAGGATGGGGCCGATGGCGTCAAAACTGAGGAGAAGGATACGGATACAGATGCCATCAGACCCGCACGCACCGGAACGTTTTGTTGACTTTATGCCGATACGTTGTGCCGACGTCGTTTACGACGTCGGCACAGTTATGCTATAGCATAACTTCGAAATCTCGGTTACAAGAGTTCCAAATGCTTTTCTGCTCTGATCGGTGGACAATCTTCAGACAGCCAGAATAGACATAGATTGCCGTTCTGGTATGTCTTGTTTTGAATTGACTACCTACACATTCATCGTTCTCATCATAACTGCTTGTGGCTTTTGTAACATTATCACATCTTCTCGTGACTATTCGTGACGTCATTATAGCTGTCGGGGGCGTGGGTACCACCCTGAGCGGTGTCCGTGTTTTAGTGTTGAATATCCGTCCATTGTCTGTGAACTACAGACAGGGAGTGTACAGACGTCGTATGTGGTGATTTAG